TGCCATTAAATTGGTTGATAAGCGGCCTAAAACCTGTCTGTAATTAATTTCAATCCTTCACAAAAAATACTTAGAAAGTTAAAACGTGAGGTATTTGGTCAAAATTGAATTAATCGATGGAACCTTCATTCATTTAATATCCTAGTTCTCTCAAACAATTTGTTCGTTGTAAAAGGACGAGCGAAGTTTTCAGTTCTACAACAAATATACGCATTAAATCCCCTTGTGTCTCGTTGAAGTGTCTCATTCGAATTTAGATTTTGTGTGAAGGAAAGACCAGATTTACACACGCCATTGCAGCAAACAAACGAGCAAACTCTTATAACTTCAAAATAGAAAATTTTAATTTTACTTGCAATTATTTTCCTCGCCATTTACTTCATGAGCAGCAGTAAATCTTCGCACATGAATTAATCGTCGACGAGAGTGAATAATACTTTCCGTCAGATCATTGACTGTTTTTGAAGAACACATTGTCGTGACAGTCCTTGCTAAACTAGTTTGGTTGTTTTTTCAAAAGTGTACATGCCCTTTTTTTTTCTTACGCGCTCTTCAATTAACTTGTGTCAGATTGTGACAGATACTTGTAAAAATGTTTCAAAGTTTGTTAGGAAGCCTTTTAAATCACCCTTATCTTATTCATTACGTACATGGAAATGTTTTGATGCAGCATCTCGCTTTAATTTGCATCACCTCTATTTTAACTATCATTTACCCGCTCAAATATTGCTCAATTTATGGAGGATCCTGCTGTAATTACAGCCCTAAATCATTCGGGATGTTTTGGAAGGAATTTAGTTCAGTTTAAGGAAAAAAATAAAGATGTTATTCACCAGTCTAAGTCATTCCGTATTGGGAAAAACTGTACCGCCCGAGGCCGTGGGCTGGCAAATAACATATATTTATTTGATGCTACTTCAGCAACACCGACACCAACTTAAACTGATTTGCACCATAAACTCCAGTGTGTCCGCGGACTCATTGTAGTTGTAGAAAACATAGTAATTTCTTTTGCCATCGAGTATGATCATGTTGGAATACATGTAATACATACTACTGCTCTTTGTGGAAGCCACAAACAGCGCTAAAATACACAACTGAACAACAGCCATTTTCCTCATTAAAGAGGGGCCTCGCCTTCACTGAGAAACAGCAGCCTTGAATGACCGCGTATTTTCGTACTTTGCCGTTTTAGAGCCTTTTTTCTAATTACTAACGTTGTCAATATCTTTCAGTGGTATTTTTTGTATTTTTACCTTTGTTTTGGCTCCAAAACAAGCTAAGTGCAAAAACAGAGAACAGGAAGCAGAAACTAGAGGAAAAAAAAGATATGTGAAGAGAATATTCAAGTGGAAAGTTTTCAGTGATAACAGGATGGGAAACCAAGGAAACCAGTTGTTTATTTCCTTTTTACGGTGAATCTGAATAGATCAGAATTGAATCATGCAAAAGCTGGAAAATTTGCTAACTTGAACAGATAAGCACGGATATCTTGACCACTATTCCGATAAAGAGAAGTGATAAACTGCAAGCGAATGAAGTTAAAGAAGGGTATAAAAGACATAGGTAAAAAAGTGACATCTTAACCAGCTGAAAATTAGCCAGTGATATCTGAGAAACATCCAAAAAGAAAAATCTATCTAAATTTAGGCAATTGGTCGGTAATTTTGGTAATTAATCAATTACCTTCGCTTTCAACCAATATTTACACAAAGTTTCCCCAATTTGAATACATATGTACTTGACTTAACCTTTAAGTATGTCAGTTGTCAATATATCTAATGACTCTTAAGTTCAGGAAATTTAATCAAGCCACGTCACTGTTTGTTTTATCTTGAAAAATGTAGCCACACTTTGAAAGTTTCTCATTTTGCAATCAGTGTCACCGAGTTCTTTCGATGATATGACCCCTGCGTTAATTTCAAAATCGACTTGATTAACTCGGCATTTTTACCAGGGACCAGCGTTTGCTCAGGGCACAGCAAAAGGGCAACTAAATGTCATTTTTGAAAAATAAATTAATTACCCTGCCTTCGAGACCTAGGCAGCACGATTTTTGTTTTCGTTCAGCCGCAACGAACAAACTGTTTCTTCAGTTTTAAACAAACTTTTAAAACTTTCTTCAATACTTTAGAAGCTTTTCAGTGATATACAGTTTTCCAAGTGTTTCTTTGAAAGTAGGGCGCGTAGAACAAAATGTTTTTTTCCAGAATTTTTCCTTGTTTCCTTACATTTTGATGTTTTCTGCGCATTTTGTTGCATATTTGTCGTCTTTACTTGAACTCCCTTGACTAGGCCACACAGTTCATGGTCATCAAGGCAGGCAAAAGAGTGCTAGTTCCTCTTTTTCCCTCTTCTTGTTCCTCACTGGGGAAGGGATGGAAGCCAAACCCTAGATAAAAAATTGGCACATACTTCTCCAATTCCAATATTTATCACTTACACTTGAGATTACTGTGCGAGTATTGGGAAAACTTTGAGTTTGAAATGTTTTCAAATTGTGCCGGCAAACATTAAAAGTGTGACGTCCAAACAAGCTGTGTTTACATGCTCTCATCTAAACTAACTAGTTGGCCTATTGAGAGCGTGCGAACGATCTCAATTATTTTGTAACCATCATTAGTTATAGAAGTGTGACTTCCAAAACCGAATTACAGTCACTCGGTTTTTTTTTAGTAGTTTTGGCTTCGATCATGCAAATCACACCCGCTAGAAAATGAAAAGTTCACGAAGACAACGAGTCCATTATCACGCAAAGATAGCTTAGCGTTAAAAAGAAGACTTAGGTTGTACTGTGATTGATCTTGTGATGAAAATCAAACCTCTCAAAGGGGTAAACACTGAATCCTGACATTTCCTGTTGGAAAAAGAATAACACTTTTCATTTTCCATGTTCAATTACATCATGACTGATAAAAGTGTGACGTACGAAACCGAAATACTGTGTACTTCTTGATTGAGTGGTAGGGGCGCAGCGAGGTCCTTTCTTCATGACCCTAAGCTAAATATTTTCCCCACTGGTCCCACCAAATTCTGTCAATAAGCATTTTATCATATGACCACTAACTGTTAAAAATGTTTAACCTAAATGGGACGCGATAGACGGGCATACAGGCACACAAAAAAATATGCAATTTAAAACTTTTCCTTTTATTTCGATTAGCCCCGAGGGGGAAGGGAATATCCTGAACACACGTGATCTGGATGCATTTAACACTGTGACAGAGGAAGTTCGGAAGGTTGGGAAAAGTAATTCGTTATTTTTGTTGTTTCATTTTGAAAGCATCAGCCACATTGTCAACATCTTGGTAAGTGCGATTGAAAATCTTTTCTAGTCACTCGGTTTTTATCAGCCTTAGTCATTTAGTAACTGTAGAGAGGTAAGGCTCTTATGGCAAAGCCCAGTACCTACTTTATCCCTTTATTATTTACTTTATCCAGTACCTGATCTTTATGTTTGCAATATGTTACATTTCGAGTGTTAGCCCTTCGTTAAAGCGGTTGATGGCGCGATTGAATCGTCACCACAGTGAAATAAATTGATTCTACGGCGACTTTTTTTAATCTCTGTGGCTTTATACCGTATAATTTATCCTCATTAACTAAAACAAGGTTATTGAGTATCGTTCAATTTGAGAAATTGATGATCATAAAACTAGAGTGTCCCACGCTGACATCATAGGAAATCCGTAGTGCTTCATTACGTGGTTTTCCAGAGGCTATGATCTGCACTGGCTATTAACTTGCCCCTTTTTTTAGGAGGGTTTAACGATCGATTTAGAGATCGCGGTAGATTCCAATTGAATTTCCGTTTTCTACTTGTACACAAACGTTTCATGGTCGAGAAACCATTCACTTAAATTTTTAGATACTAGCGGCGGGCTCTACGGTACATATTTTTCTAAACGCCGTAATCTGTTTTTTTCTGCTTAAGCGCTAGAGTCTCGCATAAGAAGATAAGTCATGACGCTGCGCGCTCAAAGAGAGATGTTTTAACTTTCTGAGAGAAACTAAGACTTTCTTAAATTCAATGTTACTGCATACGTAGTATAGGCGTACTTTTCCGTTGATCGGATGCTTCATATCTCCACCGTTAAATGGCTTTCTTAAAACAGTTAAGGTTTCATACAATAAATTTCAACCATAATGTAACTAACATTGTTCAGCATTGTTTAGTTTGAGAAACTGATGGTTCCCACAATCACGTGAACAAAAACTAAAACCAATCCTATATTAAGACATATTTATCATGCAGAATGTCCTTTACTGATGTCAACAGAGGCGGCCCAAGCTCACACTCGAGAAAAAGCAAACGATTAATTCATGAAAGCGTCACGCGTTGTGTGACTCGGTGTTAACTTACCAGAGTTGAACACGTCATAAGGAATTGTATGGGGAACGAAAGATGGTCGATTTGAAGTTATAAAAATGTGACGTACAAAACCGAAATAGATTCACTGCGGAGTAAACTACGGATCGGTTTTCCATACCAGTTCATGAAAAGTTGATTATCGCTCACAGATAGCTTACCGTTTAAAGAAAGAAGCTTTATTTCTGTTGGTATCGATCTTGTAATGAAATTTCAATTTTCGAAATGGATAGACACAGAAGCCTGACGTTTCCTGTTAAAAAAGAATGAAATAATTTATTTTTACATGTTCAATTCTATAATTGGTCACAAAAGTGTGACGTACAAAACCGAAACTCATCCCCCACCTCTCCCTACCTCAAAAGAAATATGAAGTACTATTAAATATGACTATTGACTGAAAGTCAAGCCACCTCCTATCTCTGATGTCATTTGCTTGTTGCCATATTTCAGTCACTAGATTAACGTCTTCAAAGGTAAGACCAGTGATGTGGTTATGTTCGAGCAAACTACCGATCCACTCCGTCCGTTTTCTTTTTTTGTTTGGTATTGTGTTAATAAAAATAATGTTTCCCTGATAACAGGAGAGGATTGCAGTGGAAACCTAACAGCAGAAGCCATGACACCTTTCATGAGCATCGCCTTACTTGTTGCCCTGTTCTTGCTCAAGTCAGATCGCATTCAGAAAGCCATTGAGATATGCAGCGAATGTTTGATTTTGCTAACTTGCACCGATCAAAACAGCAAACACCAATTTGATTCAGCACTGCTACAATTTTACAGCGACATCTATACCATTCTTTTCAGCGCTTATCGTCATATCTCTGACTACATAAGTGCGGAAAGATACGGGAAGAAACTGTTTGACTTATACAGAGGGTATGGAATTATGCTTTATAAACTTGGCGAAAGCCTAAAAGCAAAGGAATATTTTGAGAGGGCCCTTGCAATAACAACCAAAATTGGCGGCAGAGAAGGGGAAGCATCATGTTATGGAAACCTAGGTACTGTGTTTCTGTCCGTTGGCCAATACGACAAAGCTGAAGAATATCTCCAAAAAGCGCTTCTCATCACAACTGAAATTGGCGACAGAGGAGGGGAAGCATCATGTTATGGAAACCTAGGTACTGTGTTTCTGTCCGTTGGCCAATACGACAAGGCTGAAGAGTATCTCCAAAAAGCGCTTGTCATCAAAACTGAAATTGGCGACAGAAAGGGGAGGCAACTAGCTATGGAAACCTAGGTACTGTGTTTGAGTCCGTTGGCCAATACGACAAGGCTGAAGAGTATCTCCAAAAGCGCTTGTCATCCAAACTGAAATTGGCGACAGAAAAGACAGGGAGGCTACTAACTATGGAAACCTAGGTACTGTGTTTGAGTGTTTGGCCAATACGACAAGGCTTTGGCCAATACGACAAGGCTGAAGAGTATGGAAATCCAAAAAGCGCTTGGCCAATCATCAAACTGAAATTGGCGACAGAAAAGGGGAGGCAACATCATGTTATGGAAACCTAGGTACTATGTTTGAGTCGCTTGGCCAATACGACAAGGCTGAAGAGTATCTCCAAAAAGCGCTTGTCATCAAAACTGAAATTGGCGACAGAGGAGGGGAAGCATCATGTTATGGAAACCTAGGTACTGTGTTTGAGTCACTTGGCCAATACGACAAGGCTGAAGAGTATCTCCAAAAAGCGCTTGTCATCAAAACTGAAATTGGCGACAGAAAAGGGGAGGCTACTAACTATGGAAACCTAGGTACTGTGTTTAAGTCGCTTGGCCAATACGACAAGGCTGAAGAGTATCTCCAAAAAGCGCTTGTCATCACAACTGAAATTGGCGACAGAGGAGGGGAAGCATCATGTTATGGAAACCTAGGTACTGTGTTTGAGTCGCTTGGCCAATACGACAAGGCTGAAGAGTATCTCCAAAAAGCGCTTGTCATCAAAACTGAAATTGGCGACAAAAGGGAGGCAACTAACTATGGAAACCTAGGTACTGTGTTTCTGTCCGTTGGCCAATACGACAAGGCTGAAGAGTATCTCCAAAAAGCGCTTGTCATCCAAACTGAAATTGGCGACAGAAAAGGGGAGGCAACTAGCTATGGAAACCTAGGTACTGTGTTTATGTCGCTTGGCCAATACGACAAGGCTGAAGAGTATCTCCAAAAAGCGCTTGTCATCCAAACTGAAATTGGCGACAGAAAAGGGGAGGCTACTAACTATGGAAATCTAGGTACTGTGTTTCTGTCCGTTGGCCAATACGACAAGGCTGAAGAGTATCTCCAAAAAGCGCTTGGCATCAAAACTGAAATTGGCGACAGAAAAGGGGAGGCAACTAGCTATGGAAACCTAGGTACTGTGTTTCAGTCGCTTGGCCAATACGACAAGGCTGAAGAGTATCTCCAAAAAGCGCTTGTCATCCAAACTGAAATTGGCGACAGAGGAGGGGAAGCATCATGTTATGGAAACCTAGGTACTGTGTTTGAGTCGCTTGGCCAATACGACAAGGCTGAAGAGTATCTCCAAAAAGCGCTTGTCATCCAAACTGAAATTGGCGACAGAAAAGGGGAGGCTACTAGCTATGGAAACCTAGGTACTGTGTTTGAGTCGCTTGGCCAATACGACAAGGCTGAAGAGTATCTCCAAAAAGCGCTTGTCATCCAAACTGAAATTGGCGACAGAAAAGGGAGGCAACTAGCTATGGAAACCTAGGTACTGTGTTTGAGTCGTTTGGCCAATACGACAAGGCTGAAGAGTATCTCCAAAAGCGCTTGTCATCCAAACTGAAATTGGCGACAGAGAAGGGGAGGCAACTAACTATGGAAACCTAGGTACTGTTGTGTTTGAGTCGCTTGGCCAATACGACAAGGCTGAAGAGTATCTCCAAAAAGCGCTTGTCATCCAAACTGAAATTGGCGACAAAAAAGGGGAGGCAACTAACTATGGAAACCTAGGTACTGTGTTTCTGTCCGTTGGCAAATACGACAAGGCTGAAGAGTATCTCCAAAAAGCGCTTGTCATCCAAACTGAAATTGGCGACAGCAAAGGGGAGGCATCTAGCTATGGAAACCTAGGTACTGTATTTAAGTCGCTTAACCAATACGACAAGGCTGAAGAGTATCTCCAAAAAGCGCTTCTCATCCAAACTGAAATTGGCGACAAAAAAAGGGAGGCTACTAGCTATGGAAACCTAGGTACTGTGTTTGAGTCGCTTGGCCAATACGACAAGGCTGAAGAGTATCTCCAAAAAGCGCTTGTCATCCAAACTGAAATTGGCAACAGAAAGGGAGGCAACTAGCTATGGAAACCTAGGTACTGTGTTTGAGTCGCTTGGCCAATACGACAAGGCTGAAGAGTATCTCAAAAAGCGCTTGTCATCCAAACTGAAATTGGCGACAGAAAGGGGAGGCAACTAGCTATGGAAACCTAGGTACTGTGTTTGAGTCGCTTTGGCCAATACGACAAGGCTGAAGAGTATCTCCAAAAAGCGCTTGTCATCATCCAAAAATTGGCGACAGAGAAGGGGGAGGCAACTAGCTATGGAAACAGAGAATGGAAACCTAGGTACTGTGTTTGAGTCGTTTAGGGCCAATACGACAAGGCTGAAGAGTATCTCCAAAAAGCGCTTGTCTGAAATCCAAACTGAAATTGGCGACACAAGAAGAGGTCATCCAAACTGAAATTGGCGACAAGAAGGGAGGCAACTAGCTATGGAAACCTAGGTACTGTGTTTCAGTCGCTTGGCCAATACGACAAGGCTGAAGAGTATCTCCAAAAAGCGCTTGTCATCCAAACTGAAATTGGCGACAGAGAAGGGGAGGCAACTAGCTATGGAAACCTAGGTACTGTGTTTAAGTCGCTTGGCCAATACGACAAGGCTGAAGAGTATCTCCAAAAAGCGCTTGTCATCCAAACTGAAATTGGCGACAGAGAAGGGGAGGCAACTAGCTATGGAAACCTAGGTACTGTGTTTCTGTCCGTTGGCCAATACGACAAGGCTGAAGAGTATCTCCAAAAAGCGCTTGTCATCACAACTGAAATTGGCGACAGACAAAAGGAAGCATCATGTTATGGAAACCTAGGTACTGTGTTTAGAACTGGTGGTGATTTTGAAGCTTCGGAAGTATGCTTGGAGAAAGCTTTATTCATATCCAGAGATATTGGAGATGGAAGAAAAGAGTTCGAAATCCCTCTAGGTTACGCCGTTTTGTATTTATACCAATATAAAATCAAAGACTCCCTGTCGTGTCTTTATCTGTGCATTGAAAAGTATGAGGAGCTGAGATATTTCTTGGGCGCCAATGATCAGTTCAAAACATCATTTCTGGAGGACACAGGAATATTTCCCTACAAACTGCTTTGTACTTTGCTTTGTGACACCGGAAATGCTCAGGATGCTCTTTATGTTGAGGAGTTGGGTCGAGCTAGAGGCCTATCAGACTTGATGGCAGAGAAGTACTCGGTTGAAACGCACATCTCTGCTAATCCACAATCTTGGTTTGGCATTGAGAACATTTTAAGAAAGAAAAATAACTGTACTTGTCTGTACATTTCTTATGTTCAGAATCGTCTGCATTTGTGGATCTTGAAAACAAGTGGAGTCCTTCACTATAGAAGAGTATCACGAGAAGAGAATCTAGTTCAGGCTGGGTTACCCAAAGATTTGTCTTTGAGTCAATTTTTGGATCTTAATTTCCGGAGTCTTGGTATTTTGCCCACTAAAGATTGTGAAGATCGGTCTTTAAATACGATTAAATTGCAACCTCTCTCCCCCGCGCAAAAGAGCTCAGCAAGATTGCGACTCGTGGAGGAGGACGAGGACGAGGACGAGGACGAGAAAGTGATTTCAAGTCTATATTTGTGTTACAAAATGTTCATTGCCCCCGTTTATGATTTGCTTGATGAGCCTGAAGTCATTATTGTTCCTGACCGCAGGTTGTACAAAGTTCCCTTTGCTGCCCTGAGTGAAAGGGAAGGAGCCGAATACTTGTCAGAGACTCATAAGATCCGTATCATTCCTTCGTTGACAACACTCAAGAACATTCAAGAAAGTCCAGAGGACTATCACAGCAACACTGGTGCCTTGGTAATAGGCAATCCCAAGGTTAATTGGCTGCAACCATTGCCAGCTGCAAGAAGGGAAGCGGAGATGGTCGGACGACTGGTGGGTGTTCCGCCTCTAGTTGAAAAGAAAGCAACGAAGCAGGCGGTACTTGAGCGGATAAGTTCAGTGAGCTTGATACATTTTGCTGCCCATGGTAACGCGGAAAGAGGAGAAATTGCACTCTCCCCCATTCCTACTCCCAACAGTCAAAACGCTATCCCACCGAAGGAAGCTTACATGTTGACGATGGCTGATGTGTCACGAGTGAAAGTCAGAGCTAAACTGGTGGTACTTAGCTGCTGTCACAGTGGAAGTGGAGAGATAAGAGCCGAAGGAGTTATAGGAATTGCCCGTGCGTTCTTAGGATCTGGTGCTCGCTCGGTATTGGTTGCGCTGTGGGCCATTCCAGACTCAGCAACAGAGAAGCTGATGAGTCGGTTCTACGAACACCTCATTGAAGGAGAAAGTGCCAGTGAATCCCTTCATCAGGCCATGAAGTGGATGAGAAAAACGGCTTGAACCAAATTTCTGAGTGGGCTTCGTTTACGCTGATTGGAGATGATGTGAGGTTCGAGTTTCACAATCAGAGGTGAGACTCGTTGAGAACAGGTATTTTTTTAAATTAAAGTTAAATTACTGGAGTTTGACAAGCAGAGGTAAGACTCTTTATCTATATATATATATATATATATATGTGTGTGTGTGTACATAAGAAGAAATATATATATATATATATATATATCTACACACATTTTTTTTCCTTTTTGAAGAGTTACTATCTCCGCTCTTTGGTGTAAAGTATAGAATCTCAGAGATGCCTCTCTACCAATGAGATACAAGTAATAGCCAATTATTTATATATGTTGTTGCTTGGTGTAATTGTGTTTGCTTTATATCCAAAATGTTAATTGAGGTAATAATAAATTGGGTTATTTCAAACTTTTTCTTGCAGGAAAAAAGACCCCGATAGAGTAAATAATGACAAGTACTCGAAGGGAACAGAGTAAAAAGACTTTTAGATGGATAAATTATCAGAAATAAGTAGAGAAAATACTCTATCCGGTACTTCATCGACATTAAAAAAAAGAGCTATCCCAGGTTAGGGGAGATTTATTCCAATTTTTGGTGCTTTCTTTACTAATATTCTCAGGAGGAGGTAATGGTTATGTACTCAACAATTTTTTGTTTTTCACGCAAAAATTATATTCTGATATAATAAGCACGAAACAATGTTGACCTACGTAAGCCTTTTGAGTAAAACGCATTCAGTAAAGTTAAGACAGTAGTTTAAGTATTAAACAAACCACTAAAATCGAGTTTAATATTTGTATTTTCGAGCCTTTTGTAAGGAGTCGTGCCGGCCCGTAAACACATTTTAAGTGGCGTTAAGATAGGATTCGCAAAAGGAGAAGCGTTGCGCATCCTAAAAATAAATCCGAAGCACTCCACATTAAAAAAAAATACGACTTAAAGAGGGGAAAGAGGATACCTGACGAAGTTCTGGAGAAATACGTTTCTGAAGTTATCTGCTCCAGTATCACTTCCGGCTTTACAAAAGCTCAAGAACATGCTGATGTGGAAATGCCACATTAAAATCGCATGGCCATAAAACATTAAAGTATACCCTGACCAGAACTGATCTTTGGAGACAGAAATTTAAAATCGCTTGCGGATGGCGGGAGTGTCATGCGGGCATGTCAATACTTCAATTTTTAACTGGTCACTTGCCTCTTGTGCTATGGACCCTGCGCGAAGCAGCGAAAATATGGAAGTAATCCTGTCTTGGGATATAGAATTCATCTGTTGTAGAATAAGTTAATTCGTAACACCCTGTAATAACAGCAAAACTAGTCGCTGGTTCCCTTTCATCAAGAGCGTTACTATTTGTAACTGGTTTTTGGCAGTTATGTCCTTAACGTTCTAGTAGAAATACATAACACTATACGTTCCAGTGGGTACTAAAGTATGTTTTTAGTTCAAGACATGCGTATCGCCCATGCATATTAACTGAAGTCTTTTAAAAGGTTTTTGAGCAACTTTAACGTTTTGGCTGAAATCCGCAAATTCGCAGGAGTTTTTGACAGTGTCATGACAGGACGGATAATGCATGCACTGTAAGTACCTCTCGTTGTTCCATACAAAGCCTTAGAAAAGTTTTCTAAGGCTTTGTATGGGACAACGGGAGGTACTTACAGTCCACGCGTTTTTCCGTCCTGTCATGATCAGTATTCCCAACAACAGGCGACAAAATTCTCGCAAGATAACCAGAAATTGCATAAGTCGGAGAATTAACAAAAGGGACAATGGGTCTCAAAGGAATTCCCGATTTTTGAATTTTGAATTTTGAAGGTAAGCCATAAAAACGTGGACAAAAGCCGTCACTACTGTATAATATTTTGTACGTAGAGTCACTAATTTTACCAGCTTTTTTCAAATCAAGCAACATTTTGTTTAACTTTCTTTGAGCTTTTCTGGTAGGATCAGAGTTTAAGACAGCATACGTACTCTTGTCATTAAGCAGAGACAAAGCTTTGTCCTGATATTGCTGTTTGTCCATAACCACAACACAATTACCCTTAAAGTAAATGGTTTGAACCATGGAGTATCAGTAGTTCGTAGATTGATCGTCAGCATTGTTTAGTTCTGAAAAGAACTGTTGTTGGTGACTGACGTTTCGACTATCTGTGCAATCATCTTCAGAGTCAAGTGAAAATGACTAAAAGTCTGGTCTGTTGAACGTGATTGGACCAATCACGTTCAACAGACCAGATATCACCCGGACGATCACACTACACGAACTACAATTACCCTTGTCAGCAGATAATACGAGCCTGTCCGGATCCTTTTTGAGAGCTATAAGCGCATTAAAAACATCCTTTTGAACGTTTTTGGGAGGAGTTTAGATCGTGACGATGGCGGTGTGCTTCCTATTTTACGCCTATTTACACCTCGTCATAGAAAAAAAAAAGGCCGCTAATTAGTGATCATATAAAAAGACCTCTAGTTACAGCGTCCAGATCACCCCTGA